TCAGGTATTGGAAGCGAACTATTTTGCGCCGTAATATGTTTTACCTAAAAATGGGGTGTTCCATCGCGTGTGGCGGACAGTGTATATCACTTTGGCCAACCCCATTCAGGTGATAGGTGCATTTTGAGCATTCCCATCAGTCCTGAGAGTTTCATCGTTCCACTTCGAATATTACGGAAGATACGAGGGTGTTTCCATGAGAAGTGAGACACACTGTATATTCATTTTGAGTAGTTTATTTGAAATGAAACTCTGCTTGTTGAGATATTCATAATAATAATTGCTTTGCGTCAAGTTAATCTTATTGTGATAACTTTTTAACGATTCCTCCAGATAACTCAGTGTAAAAGGCCAAGTGTATCTATATCAAATACTTAAAACGACAATTGTATCAATTTTTTTAAGAATTCGACAGGTATTCTGAAATGTGCATTGTTATATTATGACCAAATTACACAAAACCTTTTATGTAAAGTTTCATCTAAATCCGTTCAGTCGTTCAGGCGTGAAAGAGTCACAAAATACATACATACGTCTATTCTCACAAACTTTCACTTTTGTAATTGATATAGATAGATATAGATATATACAGATAGATATAGATAGATATAGATATTTTTTTTTCTTTGGTTTCGTGGGTTCAGCAGTCAAATAATGTGAAAAACTTTCGAAAAAATGGTTTTTATTTACAATATTTGCTAACTGCCAGTTTTAGTTTGGTTTTTGTTATTATATCATATTAGCTGTCCTCTCTGTATTTCAGTTCTCTAATGAGGGTCAAACTTGCAGTGAACTATCAACAAATTATGAACGGACTATAGATATAGATAGATTGGTCTATGGACAACACGATGTGTTGACCGTAGAAAAAACTAATTGTGTAATTACGATTTGCGAATATTCTCAGAAATTTTGATCGAAAAAAGCTTCCTCTTTCACACCGCATACAATTTTTGATTGCCACTGTAAAGCTCCAAAGCCCGTCGAGGTGAACAAGGTAAAAACTCGCAAACACATAAATCTATCAGAGTCAGCAAGCCCCTCGATGGAAAAACCGAAAAACAACTTTCCTTCCCGGTACTCGGACATTGATTGTGCGGGACGAGCACATAAGTCTTCCCCCCAACTACCACGTGATTTGTCCTCTAATCGCGGTTGCCTGGGGACTTGTAATGGGTCCCATCCGGAGCTTTCCAGATTCTATAAGTGGTCGGGGACGTCACTCCAATTATCCGGGGCTCGCATGCAGCTTGATTCTTTTTTAACTCTATTGGACTTTGGGGATGGAGCTTCTTCTAGCTAATTGTCGGATAAATAAGTGGAGCTTAATTAAGTAACAGATAAAAAAGAAAGGCGTACCTACTCGGAATTGCCGATTTGCATTAGGCAGATAAGGGAGTTGGAAAAAAGTGCAGTTGGGACTCGAATTAAAACTTCTAATGATGCGTTCACGAAAGGTAGCGATTAGAGGCCGTGACTAACTTTCCTATGACCGGGATTATAACAAAATATTCAAATTTTGAGGGCTTTTCTAGAAAGTATGTTTCAGTAACAAAATAGTTCCTGGATGAATTGTTCCAACTGTTTCATACACTCTTTGGAGAAACTCGACCACAGAAGGGAACGTGAAACCCGCCACCAGCAACGAGGAGAGTGATTTTTTAGATGCCGAGGCCTGAAAACTGAAAATATATCAGAACGTGAGAGGCCTCCGTACGGAGCATAAGGAATTTTTTCACAGCATACTTTCTAATAACTGGGATGTGATATGTATATCAGAAACATGGCTGAATGATAGTTTTTTTGATAAAGAACTGAGTGGTATTTCGAAATGACAAAAACCACAGTATCTCCAGTATGAACCGCGGTGGAGGTGTCTTATGCTGTATTAAAGCCAAATTCAAAACAGTACTTATCGCTAAGAGTATGAATACCGATTTTCAGTGGCTGTCAAAATCTCTATTAAAGATCTCGACGCTACGATCTGTTGTGTGTACATAACAACGGTATATTAGTCTAGTTCACATGTCCAAAAATTACGACCAAGGTGTCATTCGATTCGTATCTTTGCCTAAAAAGTTTGAGGATAGGTCCGAAAACGCGCCGATAAAAACTACAAAAGTTATAAACAATCAAGTGAAAAAAAAATGGGGCTTTAGTTTTTTCTTAATATGTCGGAAAATTTTCAAAATTTTGGGAATTTGAAAAAAGATTTGAAAAGATCAATGAATTTGCGTAAAAAAAGTCTTAGGTACGTATAAATTATTTCAACTTGATATAGGCGCTGTTGCCAATATGTGAATTAAAAACAAATCCCTTTAAACATTGACACCTAACATTTGAAATATCAATTTGAATAAGTACTTTCCGAAGTGAATTTGAAAAACTCATGAATCAAACTCAACTTTATTTTGTTCAAACTTGCATTTGCTGTATTAACCCAAATTGAGGAACATTCCCCATTATCCAGTTCAAACGAAACAACCTGAGTGGCGTTCATAAAGAATATGAAAAACATCCTTAGTTTGGGAATATTCAATATTACTGGAGTTTTACCCCAACACCGAATTATTATTTCAACACCTCGACACGTGTTCATTACTTGGTGGTTGAAACACGTGTTGGGGTGTTAAAAATAACGGTTTAGTGTTGGGATAAAACTCCAGTTCAATTCATTACTACACCAAAGGTTCCAAACAGTACATTCCAAAAACCTTTTCAAGTTTTTCTGAACTGAAACTTGCTCGTGATCAGCCATAGGATAAAAGCAGCATAAGTATTCCCAAAATTTCTCTGATTTTGGGATTTATTTTTACCAAAGCATCGACATAAAAAACTTTAAAAAATGGATTGTGAAAAATGTAAGTATTTCATAATCTGGTTTTGTTCTGTTTGATATCGTGAGATGAAAAATATTTTGTATTTGTTGACTTATGTAGGTACATAAAAATCAACTCTTCATTCATGTGTGACATTGCCTTCCAATTTATTTCCAAGGATGCCATTGCCAGTAATATATTTTTTGTTGGAATTTCCCATGAAATATAAATGCGCTCTCGTTGGCCATCACAAAGTACTTTGTACAAATCGAGTGAACTTTACGACTCGGTCCTGTCTATATATTCGTCTTTCATTCTCATCATTGCGTCCGCATTTCCGTCGTATCTCTTAAATCCAATAAAGCTTTTCCGATGATTCAAACAAGCGTCACGTCCACACAAAATGTCACTCTGTGACCAAACGAAATCGGATTCCTTCGATTCTTTCAAAATGGGATCGGACAAAGGGCCGTAAAACAGTTGATCATGTAAGGATTATACGTTATCCAACATTTGATTCATCTCTGGTACTTTCAGTAGACGAGGAAGCAGAAATGGTGCAGTTGAAAAGAAAGATGGTTGGTATCTTCAATTTTTAGTGAGTTAAATCTACTCATGTCATCGATGACAGTACGTAATGACATTCATTATTTGATTAAATCTCAGGCATAGGGATCTTTCACTGGTTCGGANTGGCACAATTATAGAAAACGTTCTTCCAGGAAGCTGAAGAGCCATACTCAGAAATGATCCGACAAGTCATAGCATCGAAGTTTGGCCAGCAAACCATCATGCCACAGAGGGTCAAAGGCCTTAGCAACAGATCACCCAAATATGAGTGACATACCATAGAAGGTCTCCTGTTGATCTTTTTTTTTCTGAAAGCCGTACCTACCTATTGACGATCGCTCAAGATGTTAAAGCTTTCCAAATATTCAGGATACGTTTATGACTTTCTCCATGATTTTTGATTTCATTGATAGCTGTACACTGCCTCAGGAAATGTCTCCTCTAGCAAATAATTTCCATCATTTTCGATTTGGTGCAATTTTCTGTTTCATTTTTTCCAGCTGAAATTCAATTTCTTTGAAGTTTTCCACAATTTGGTCCTAGTTTGGTCTTCTTTCGAGGCTCCCATTATTTTGCCAAGGATCAGTATTTCTTTCTTGAAATAAAATAAATGACCTATTGTTTTCTAATTGCAAGTTCGTAGTCTTCATCAACAGTCACAGTTTTTCTTCCCAAAGATGGTTTCTATGATTTCAAAGCTTCTTTTTTCTCTCATTCTTGAATTTATATATGGATTATTTTGAAACTCCAACATTTGTCAACACCAGAGTATCAACGGTATGTACTTGAAAGAGTTTTGCTTATGAGAACGTCATATATATCAAGAATAATGCCCATTTGTTCCACTGGAGAGAAACCTATTGTCATTGAAATAGTTAACGATGAAACAGTGAAAGTGTATTTTCTCAACCAACTCAACAATTGATTTTTTGTCGATTCGAGAAATAGAATATGTAGATGTCGTGTGTTCTCTGAAATTAGTTTTTATACATCGTTATATTTGACCAACATATACAATCCTATCAAGACCACGCGAAACTCGTAGAATTATGGTTTCCTTGCAGTGTTTTTATCAATTTCACTTCCTGCAATATCTCTCAGATGTCATTTGAATTGAAGATCAGCAGTTTCTCATAGATTGAGCAATTTTCTGAGACAAGTGTATAGGTTTGTCGAGTGCCAAGTTGACGGCGACTCCAAAAAAGCGCCAAACAGATGTTGCTCTCGCCCGTTTCGCAACATTCCTCAATAATAGCCCCCAGAGTGATTATCGTCTAATAAAAGAAGAATTATCCACAACAGGTAAGCAAATCGGGCGACCGACGGTAGGCGTTTCTAGAAACGAGGCTCCACCCACGGGCGCGCTGCGGCTAAACCCCGCCCCCCGCGAGAGCCGCACGGCAAGAAAGCCTCAGTCCGCCCGCCCAGGTGACCGTAGCGGCGCGCGGGGGGACAAAACAAAAAGCCGACATGTCATCGACGAAGACAGAGGGGGGAAACCCGCCGAAAAAATGGCACATTCCTGTGATAACGTCTCGACGTAGCGGTCAGTCGGCGTTGAACGGCGTCGCGAGAAGCAGCTTCAAGACACAAAAGAGCCGCGGTGGCTCGAGGACCCGCCTCCCGAAGTGGGAGCGACCAATCTGGAAGCTTTCGCCGCATATCAAAGTAATCTCGTTAAATGCGAACCGAAGGGAGTTAAATATTCATTCTGTCAAAACGCGGTTAAATGGTTCGCACCTAGTGAAAGGTTGGCGCGTCCGGGAAAGTCGTGTAGTGGCGCTGCCGTCGGCGGTTTCGTCTGTGATAACATGTGTCCGCGCGGACGGTGATTTTCGTACGGGGACATGGAGGACAATTGCACGATGAGGCCTTGCGCCACGGATTTCAGCATAGCGGCTATCATGTCGCGGCACGGCAGGGCCAGGACGGCCAGGTGTAGGGAAAGGGATCCTCCGGACACCCTGTCTCCGTTAGGTAAGGAAGACGTTCGTTGATTGGCCATTCCAATGACAACAAAAACAAATTCTGTAACGGATAAGATGTCCGCTGAAAATATGTATACAGTGTGTTCCGCTTTTCATGCATCCAGCTAAATATTTCCGTTGTTTATGATGTAATTCCAAACATATTCGGAACTTTGACAGATAAACAGATTGATAATAATAATAATAGCGACTTTATTTTCCATTTTACAAAATGAATAATGTGCATTGTTATATTATGACCAAATTACACAAAACNTTTATTATTCCAAAGTATGGTAGTGTCATTTGCAAATAAGGTGAACTTCCCAGAAATATTAAGTTTGGTGAAGTCATTAATATATAATAAGAAAAGAATGGAACTTAACATAGAACCATGTGGAACTCCAGAATAAATTTACCTTTTTTTGAAAGTTGAGTTGTTTTGACCATTTGTGTCCATTCCATTAGGTAGGAATCAAACCATTTGTGAGTTACTTCTGCATCCATAACGTTGGAGCTTTCTCAGCAGTATTTTGTGATCAATGTAGTCGAATGCCTTTGACAGGTCACAAAATACTACGACATTCTTTTCACCGACATTTATCTCAGAATAAACTTTATTCAGAAATGAGAAAATAGTATCGTGCGTATTTTTATTATTCTGAAAGCCGAACTGATTTTCACTGATGATGTTATGCTTATTTATGAATCCAAGTAGTCGTTTTTTAACTAGTTTTTCAATAATTTTTGCGATGGTTGGTATGAGAGATATAGGGCGTAGATTAGAGGGATCATTAGAATCTCCGCCCTTGCAGAGGAATGACCACAGAGGTTTTTAGAAAAAAGGGGAATACGTCTGTTTGAAATGATACATTTATCAGTGAAACCAGTACATTTAAGGCACTAGGACAAAGATTTTATATCATTTTGATCGAAATGTCATCGTAGCCTGCAGTATTTTTGTTCTTAATATCCACCACGCCCAAATTTTCTAGATGCAATAATGGTTCATATAGGCTAGCAATAACTTTACTCATATTTTCTGCAATATAGCAGTAAAATTCATTTACAGTATCAGGACTTAACATTACAGAGTAATGTTACATTTTCGTTTTTTTTGAGTTTCTTCGTAAGTAATTTATAATTGACCTGAACTCTTTTATCTTATTGTGGGACTCACTGAGTCTATTATTGTAAAATAATTCTTTTGCTCACTTGATTGTCAATCTATAAATTCTATGGTAATTACTAAAGTAGTTTAAATAATAGAGATTGTTTGTGAATTCCCGAATATAATGCATCGACCGCATATCAATAGAAGAGATTATGAGACCTTTTGTCAACCATGTTTTTTTTTGCTTAATTTTAATTTCTTGTATAGGGACTGATGCTACAAATACATTCATTGAAATATTGTGAAATGAAGGGAAATAACCATTATGTGCTAATTTCCCAGCCAGTCTAAAGACAATTCTGATAGAAGCTATTATAATTTGTTCTGCTAAATGGTCTTCCATATTAACATTTGTTTTGCTTCTTTGACAACCTAAACGGTACTGGGCAGGAAACTGCCTCATGGTCAGATAAACCTGAAGAGCTGACTGAACATAATCCTTTATAACCAGCAAAAAATATTTCAATTATCTCTCCCTTTCAATCAAAAACGTAACCTGCCACACAGTTTCGAAAATAAGTGAAAAAACTTGTATTGGATAAAGCTTACTATAATACTGAAGAATTTCTTTCTGACGACTTAGGTATATTATTTTTCATCAGAGAGTTTTACCATAGACTTTTTGAAGTGTGCCTGAGCCATATATATATTTTGTGTTAATTTTTGACCTTTATTTTACTGTTGAATTTCAGATTACTTTAGTTCTTAATCCTGCTTTGTCAACAAAACTAAAACTATTATGACAATAAAGCATTTCTGACTGACTCTGTCAAACGCTATTTGGGTATTTAGTTTGCAATAAGTCGCCAGATTTGGTATTATATTCATTGTTGCAAGAATTTGTTTCATAGTGTTGATTAGTTCAACGAATTTCCAATAGACAATAATATACAGTGTCACCAAGCCAAGTGATTGAAACTTTGCACCAGTCATGTTAACATTTTTATAGCAAATTTTTAATTTCTCTCTAAAAATGTCCGTATAAATAAGAATGTATCAGAAAAGTTAAACTCCATAATGAGTTTTTTATGTATACATGAATTGATGACAATTAACCAAACTTGTTTTTTAAAATAAAGGGGATATCTGTCAAAAATAAGCAAAACGTTAACTTTATCCTAGTTGCATAAAATTTGGCATATGTATGCATATGCACACTGAACGTCAGTGGGTCGCAGTTGCCCGCATCATTTTAAGTTAAATTTAAAGCACAAACAAGTGCCGAAGTTAAACTTCATTGAAACTTTTCGAAAAAAAAGTTTCTAATATGGTGCGCACTTTAATGGTGACACTGTATGTAAGTACACACATCGGAAAAGTCTAGGGATATTTTTATAACATACTAAATATCATAAAAATATTTGCATTAGTTCGTTTAATTTCGATTAAATTGGTACACTCGACCACCCTGTAGATTTCTATGGGTTGAACAAATCCTGCAAAAACGGTAACTAATCTTTTATCAAGTTTTTNGATGATTCCTAATCGAAGAACTTCTATTGCAGAACTGGATTCAACTATCTATACTTCCAACATTGTTAGAAGGACTCTGTTGCCTAAAATAATTGTAAACATTTAGTTCAACAAACATTCATTTCGTTGAGTGATAAAAGGTCCACCTTTAATTTTTTCACTGATCTATAATCACAATTTGAATCTATATTTGACACAACCACTATCATCTATCGCAGAAATTACAATTAGGTGTGTCAGATCTCTTCACTCGTATAATCGACTGGACAAAACTATTGTGATGATACTGAAGGGACCCAAACAAATAATAAAATTCCTGGAAGTACGCCTATGACCCTTGAATGCTCCATAGCCTATTATTTTAACAATAGTATGTAAAAGCATTTTATAACAAACTGAGTGATGAATTTTACTACATAGTTCTAATATGGATTGCAAAAGGCAATTCTCTTAACACTCATCAATCGCTAAAATCATATCTAATCGAATAAGTTTTCATGAACATTCTGTATAATATTGAGAAACGGGTTTCATCGAAACCAGTAGCCCAGAACCTCTTTTATGCTTGGTCAGAATTCGAGGGGATGATTTCTATACATTTCGCGATGTTAGTTAGTTTCCAATTGTACCTTGGAATTTGCGTAGAAAAATCTTTTGTGCTCTCAGAATTTTAACTGAATATTTCAAGGTTTCAAGAGAAAGACATTTTACAGTATTTATAGAAATATTGGATTGTTGGGCAAAATTAACAAAACATTTAAAAACTGTTCCTCGGGCACCAATGAAAAGACTTATTTCATCATTAATTTTATGATTCTCCTTGACGAATTTGATGGTTGATGCAAAGATTTCTTTTTTTTTTCCTCTGTCAACTTCAGCAGGTTGAGAATTGCCTATTTTGTTGGATTCAATAAGAATGTAATACTTATTCTTGTTTCTTTCTTCGAATTTTCCAGATAATGTGGTGGCTCTTAGGTGAGGAATAGTTTGTGTGTTTGTCAAATGTTAACCAAATGGACAAGATCATAAACTTCCACACCTTTAGCTTCAATTCTCAAATCTTCCAGTTGTTACATTCCCTTTCCCTAAAAATATCTCTCAACTTTCGGCCAGAATTTGTCGTTGTCGATAACTAACATCATAGAAGTAACTTTTAAACTTAGTTGAAGTTATATTGCATCAAGTGGGGGCGTGAAAAAATGCCATTAAAAAGTTTTATTGATTGGTCAACTGTTCTCTCTAATCGCCCAATAGAAGATAAACACCATACAAACTGTACAAAACATTACGTTACAAATGCAATCGGACAAAAAACTAATCGTTATTTTATGTATCAAACGCTGTTTTTCCACAACAAGAAACTTACAGCCTTAAATGACTTTTTTCATGCTAATTCCGATCACAAAAACTAACTTCATCAACGTGACTCAGTGATGACCCTCTATCGACACCCAATTGTTATAAATCCATGACTAATGCATAAATCGCATGCTCGAAAATTGTATTGTATACAAATAATACATTAGGGACGCATATTAGGCGGATGGGTTAGAAATGCATTAGTCGAATTGGGCCGTGTTTAGTTGAAGATTGCTCGTGTTTGAGTGTTTATTGATAGGAAATTCAGATAGACATATAAGAAGTCATGTTTTTCATGATATTGACTTTCCAGGTGGGACGAAATTACGGAAAATGTAGTGAGCCATGACCATTAACAAATCGAAAATAAAACGACCACAATAAATTACACTTTACTTGAAAAGGAAATATTTTTTGCTATCCCCATTGAAAGTGGGATTCATTCTTAAAAAAAAATGAAACAGATTCTAGCTGATGGTTTAAACTTTGAGTTGTGGGTTTTTTGCCAATGAATAACATTACAAAGCATACTAACAGTATAAAAATGAGTAAAAAACAATGAATTGAACATATAAATCGACGAAAGAAAGTTAAACACATGGATTTCTTTTGGTTTGACAAATGTCATAGTTTCACATAAATGTAATTTTTCAATGGGCATGACGATTTCATAATCTTTGACTCTAAAGGAAGAGTTGATTGATTAAATTTTCATTATTATCATTATGTTTTTTGGTGTAGTTCCAATAAGTTGCTGTATATACTGCTGAGATTATCAATGTCAGTTCTCTCATTCATATAATCAGAAAACTTATTAATTTCAACCATTTCAAGGAAAAGCCGTTTGTAAATATTTTTTCTGTATGTAAAACTTTGATATTAGAGTAATTTGGTTCATGTCCTGTTTCTATAGAATGTTGCGCTAATGCACATGATTTCTTATCAAACTTTATATCACTTTAATGTGAAGTTATTCTATCTTTAAGAATTCTAGATGTTGATCC